CAGGTTACGAGTTGGCTTCGTAAGCTGCCGAATACTAAGAAGAATTGAAGTAACAAAATGTTACTCATTCCTGGGATATGGACACGTCTCAGGCAACTGTAGCTGTGAGACGCGATGGTCTCCCTGGTTGCTCCACCCTGAAGTAACGCTAACGCGGTTCTGGGGTGGATCAAAAGCCACGCGGCATGGGGGGGGTTTTAAGTGGGTATGGATGGTCTAATAAAAAAATCCACCGAGTCCTACACTACCGTGATCCCTGCGGTATGCCTCAATGCATTTTTCTCCCTCCAAAAAAAAAACAATAATAAAAAGTTGTAGTTGTAGTAGCAGTATCAGTAGTAGTAGAAGTAAAATTCGGTGTATCACGAGTCGTAGTCATAGTAGTAAATGTGGTGGTAGTAGTAAAAGTGGTAGTAGGTGCTCTTTTTTTTTTTTTTGTAGAGGAAGAGTAAGTGCATTGAGGCTTACTGTAGGACCAGCATTGTGTGCGACTCAGTAAATTTTTTTTTTGCTTGATCCACCGAGAAGCCACGCACTCACTAACACCGTAGGTTTATAAGATGTCATTCCTTGTTTTGGAGCGACTTTTTCGCCACAAGCTTGATAAAATTGGTATGTGACTGTAACTTTTGTAGATAAGTAAGAAGTTTTATATGGTTCTAGTAGGTATATAAGCAATATTGATGCATTTGTCGTTGAATTAATAGAAACATATATATGGATGGTGCCATTTTTAGATAAGCACTCTTAAAACTATTCATGCAAGCCCCATTTTGATATCAAATACACGGAAGATTTATTCAATAAATTAACATGTTTACTATTTTCAAAAAAATTCTGCGTAAGAAATTAATAAGTACGATAAAAACACTTCTCTCGGTGCAGATTGTACACAAAACCTCCAGTTTACAACACAGTGGCTCTACCACTTGAACAATTAAAGAGCTGTGCATTATATTATATAAGTTGTACTTTATTTAATTAATTAATTGTTGCACTTTTAAATATTACCAGAATATATTTAATTTAATTTATACTTGGCTAAATAATGAACAAATGAATGTTTTGCACATTTGAAGTCAAAATATTAAAAAAAACTGTCTTATTTATGGTCCTGGGAAATGTCTCAATTAAATATTTATTTATTACTTTAGATCACAAAGAAAATAATCTGTCAATGGCCGAGGCTGCCAATGTATCAGTACTACTACCGAACAAATTATGTGAATTAACTTTTATAACTAATGATCACTTTATTAGGTTAACAGATTACTTTATTTATAAATTTTTTTTTTTTCCTTGATATCAGGCATTCGGGTGTTGTGTCCTTTCGTGGTTTTGTAGGGGATGACTACTATGGTTTCTATTACTTTTTCACTACGTAAGTTTAATTTAATATGTGTACGTATATTATGTCATCTGATTACACGATACTACTCGAAATTCATAGAATGAAAAAAATAATACAAACAAAAGAGGTCAAAGCACCTCACATTTTATACTATGGAGTTTCATATAAAGTAAAAACTTTTTTTCATGTTTTTTGTGCTCGATATTGATTAATAAAAAATTTATCTATTTGCCTTCTAGTTAATATGAAAATAATAGATAACTACATACGGCTATTAAAGGGTTTACTGTGTTGAGTAGAAGCTGTTGCTTGCGACTGCTGGCTAAAACTAGTTGCAGCTTATCACAAAAGACAGTAGCAAACAGTCGTGTTATGTGCAATTTGTGTATATAATAGTCTATCAAAGCACTATAGACTAAGTTACTACTGGCTGCTGCCACCCACTACCTACTTTGATTGTCTAATGCTTGCTGCTGCTAGTTATATCTAGCGGTGACTCCGACTGCTAACCATAAGCTATGCCTAAGAAAAACAGTGTTTAGAATATATTTTGGAGGTTGTAACAAAACAAACTAAATTTAAATCTTGTTGTATAAGAATAACGGACAAACCTGTAAAATTTTTCTGTATAATGCGAAGTATGCTGGAATGATAAAATTAATTGAAATGTAGTAGGAGGGCAGCGGGGGATGTCAGAGCAGGGGCTTATAAAAATGTGTCAGGTGAGGCAGGGGAGTGCATTGAAGGAAAGGTCACACAATAATAACACAGATTGTGTGGGGGGTCATGAAAGGGGACTTTGACAAATGTGCAGGGAGGCCAAGGAAACTAACGGAGCTACAGCTATTCTTATATTAGGTTAAAATAACATTTAATGCAATTTAATTCTCCCTTACTTTTGTGGGGGGCATTGAGGTAGGGGTGATATTGTTTTTATAATAACGGTAGGAGTGGGTCTGGTTGATTTGAAAAAAAAGTTACATTTTTGTCTTTTTTATCTAAGAATGATTTTTTCTGAATATCGCACGACTATAACGGTTGTTTATTCAACAGAGATCTTTTAATTATTATCGTTTCAATGAATCGCATGGTAATGCTTTTGATTGAGTAACTGTCAGTTATTAGTACAGCTGTTAATTTAAGTTTTCTTTCTTAACTTGTAACACATAGGCTTATCACAGTAATGATTATTTACTTATCTGTCAACTCAGAGATGTCAAAAGTATAAGGATTTAGCTTTTTGTGAAAAATTACATTTTTTAGGATCAGCAAGTTGTTACTTTATATCTTTTCTTACAAGTACGACTGATCAAATAGCAAGCGCAGAGCTTATATAAAAAGCCATTCCCTTTTATGTGGCTTAATTTAAAAATCTACAAAAATAATGTACCTTAATTACAAGAGAAACTAAAAAGCTTATCAGCACTCTTTAAATGTCAGAAAATTTATATTTTGTCAACGTTGTATATCAAAAATGTTTCTTGGATATTCTAAGCCATACAAAAAAAGTCCTTTTATCTCTGTGGGTAATGAAATTTTTTGCATAGTTTTAGTGTAGTTATTTAGCTCTACGTTAAACAGTTAATATACGTGGCCTTTGTTAGATTAACAAGCGATACTTTTTATAGAGATATACATAAGAAACTCTTTTTATTAAAAAGTACTTGTAATTCTTACTTTAAACGTCATGTTTCATCTTTGAATCAAAAATTCCCGTAAAAATTATAAGAAACATAACGGTTTTCTCAAAAAATACTTCATGGAACAATTATGATATTACGTCAAACATTCTAACGTTATATCTACTTAAAGATTCCTTTTTTATAAACTACTTTTGTTTTTTACTTTTAATTACCTGAACAAGTGTCACAAAAATACCTGTAATATCAATACTAACTAAGTCATAGTAGCTTTATCGAGATTCGAGTTTTAGCGTCCCAAGTAAGAGACATTTATTTACCGGCAAAATTTTAAAATATAGTAACAATCTTATAAAACAAATGCAGCCTGTGATTCTTTTCTCCTTTCTAGCTCCTCACATGCTCTTTTATCATAACTTTTTAATACGAATGTTTTGTACGTGTCAGAAAGTGAGATAGGTTTTTAAAGATCTCAATTAGTTTTATTCACTAAACAGTTCTGGCTTTCTACTTCTTTACATGTTTTCTCAGTAATTGGCTTTAGCTACAACATCATGTTTCAATGCTTAAACGTAAGATTTATTTTCCAAGTGATTAAAAAGTTTAAAAGCTTAAATCAAATAGTGCAAATAGTGAAACCTTCAAAAAACGTTTGTCTTCTTACATTGGAAAAGACTGAAATGTTCTTAACAGTAAGAGTGACTTTTTGTTAATACGTTTGTTTTTTCTTAATCCTATTGACTGCTTACCTATAAAAATAAGATTCTCCTGAAATATGTTAGTATTTTCGTTAGTAATAGAAATAAGATTTTTTTCATTTTAAATGTGAACACAGATAAGGCTCGTAGGTGATAATGGTATATGATCTTAAAAAGTAATAATAAACAATTGAATAATGAACCTTTTATGACTTATAATTTTTTATCAGTATTTTCATTCAAGTAATAAGAAAGTTAGCTGTATCTATAACCTCATAGGAGGTAGAGAGATTGGAAATAATATACACCTGGAATACACCTCTTACTCAAAGAACATTATGCAGTTTAGTTGAAAAAAGTTATTGGATAACTACTGTTTTAAATTAAAATTTCTTTAAAAACTAAAAAGAAGCAAAGAAAAACTCGAGGGCTTCATTTTCTTTACGTGCGTGTCAAGTTGTTCGTTTTGTACTATTACTTCACTTGCACAAAAAAGCTCTAAGCACGCAAGATGTATACACATCAGAAAAATACGCTTCCTTTACTTTCATTGACATTAAACTTTTTTAATGTGTATGAGAGTACATTAATTTCTCTGGCTTAGAAATCCCTGAGTTTTCTTTTAAGACTTCGTTATTTCTAACAACAACGATTACGCGAGAGTTACACTGTTAATGGACCGTGTACGGGATCGTGTAAAATTTGTTTTTTTTATATTATGCGCATCACTTATTTTTATATTTAATATTAAAAAGGTTAACTGAAACGACTTGTTAATCCGTATTTCACATATAAGGTGAAGTGCTGAGTGTCATGAGCTTGCAAATTTTGCTTATGTGAATTTTCTATTGCTATAACTTTTTTAAACCAGACATTGAGCAACATATAATAAAATTGTTGATATTTACCAGTTAAAGGTTAAGCTTTGTTCTCCAATAACTTGTTTTCTTAAATTCTGAATTGTTTCAAAAGATAGTTATTTGATATTTAATAACTACCAAACACATGTTACTGTAAAACTGGAAACAAGATAACAGAAAAATGACTTTATGCTTCGTCAATTCATTTCCAATAAAGAGTTGGTTAGCTGAACAACAAATTTTTTTTTGTGACACTTGCTATAGTTTCAAACTTTTTGACAATCGATAATATTTCTCATAAACTAATATAAGATACGATTTTTGTAGCAATTAATTAATATTTTAGACATAATGTTCAATGAGCAGTTTAAAGCTCACTTACCAATAGCTCTCGACGATGAACCAATAGGCAGAAGCCTTTCAACAGTAGGTAAAGACATTAAATCCTCTGTCACGTACTTCTGAGTATCATTTGTATCATAAGATTTGGTATTATTTTGCTGCTGATTATCTTTTAATAATTGCACCTCTGTAATGCAACTGTCTGACGTACGTAATACATGGGAAGTCTCGTAGTTGCTTGGTTCTTTTTTTTTATGCTCATTAGAAGACCTAGAAGTCAAGATGTAATGAAATTCACAATGTTTATATTTGTTTGTCTGTATTATTAATTGACTAATAATGTTATAAAACATATTCTAAATATTTTTATATATTTCTATTATATTTAAATCATAGTCAACATAAACTGCAACAGCAAAAAAAAACAGTATCTTAAAAAAAATTGTTAGTATATATTTGATGCAAAACAGCATAGCCAATAATCGGTGTGTCACATAATCAAAGCAGTTAATGTAATATAACTCAAAGAAACCGAACTTTATAACAATAAAACTTCCTTACATAATAGCCATCTCAACTGCTATTATGAAAATCACGTAGTCAGTACTTACTTTACTTGTACGTTATCTTACAATGGAATTTTTAACAACTTCTGGAGTAAGAACATCCTAAATACACCTAAGTATACATAGTTTAATTTCTAACATGAAAGAAAAAATGATCGAACTCAGTGATTGTTTTTTTCTCTAAAATTATAAGTTTGAGGCTGGAATTCATAACTATTTAAAAGTATGCTGGTCAAGAGTTAATTTATGCACTGTAAATAGTTTAAATGTATAAGTTTGACTGTTACAGTGTATGTAAGAAAAAGAAAGTCTTCGTTAACCTAAAATTACACTCAATAAATTATTTTTAAATTGTTAGTTATGTTATTGGCATAGTCATTAGATCTTAATTTCTTAAAATAACTAGATTGTTTTGACATTTAGTTAAAAAACTTGTACTTTAATTTTTGCCCTTAATCCTGCCACTTTTAGTTAAGAAACCTCAGTTTTGGAATGAAATTTGCTCCTTTTTTTTAAATGTTTAAGAACTCTAAGCTGTTTTCTTACTGTCTATCTATTTTTAGTTAGAAATTTACTTGATTCATCAGCATTCTTATACTTGACGATACTGGTTATTAGCTTACTCATAAATGCCTTGAAAAGCAAAAATATACACTTCTATGTTGAGAAAGTTTTTTAAAGTGATCAGAGTTTTACTTACATACTTGTACTAGAAAAATTCTGATCACTACAAAAAATTTTTTCAACGTACAAGTGTTTTTTTCTGCTTCTCACAGCATTTATGAGTAAGCTGACCACCAGTTCTTAGACGTACGAATTCTTGCAAATTCTGAAAAGTAGTTGGAGTACCTAAGAACTGACTCTCAGTTTTCAGTGCTCCTTCTAAATGCTTCTGATGCTTTTCCTGGCTAAAAAATTATTGTAATTAGTGTACTGTAGTACAGAATGAGCCTATACCCCTTACTAAGACCTTATTACTTTAGGTGCGTCCAGTCCTTCTTTCTAGCCTAATTTAGTACTTTTCTGTATGTCACACAGCTTAGACTTCTGTTTTAGTGCTAGTTATTCGCCATTTAGTAGAGAAAACACTATGATGGGCTAGAACACTTTTTTCTGGTGGTTAAAGCTCCCATACCAGAATCATAACTTCGATCTATTTACCGTTCCATTATCACTCGAGACTTGTTTACATCCTAAGCAAATATCGTATCTTGTGATCCGTATTCTTTTCTTATAGTGTCACTTTTTCGATTCTAACTACAACCACTCCTTATCTAGCTATCGACTTTTGTACTTGCTATGAAAGTGCAAAATCATGCTTAACGCTTTTAGCTTCGTTTAGCATGTTTCTTCCTTTCGTAGTGATGATTCTTTCTATGCTTAAAATTGCAACTTTAGTCAAGTTAGAGTGCCACCTCTATCAGTACCTTGGTTGTCAACTCTTTATTATTACGCTGATCTTTTTCTTTGTAACAAGGAATAACTTCTTTCTGTTGACGTCCACCTGCTTTTTCTTTAAAGGATATTGATTTTTAGCATTTCTTAGGAACTTAAATTTCCGTATACCGGTTCTATTTTCTTTATGGCTTACTTTAAAATTTTTCTCAAAACATGACGTCAAAAACCACATCTTGTTTATCTTACAATTACCAACGATTTGAAACATTTTCTTCAGAATCTATAGATTTTACTTGCTTGACCTCTTTGTTATGCTTTAGTATTAAACTTCTACTATCTTTGTTTATGCAGGGTATCTCACCTTACCGATTAAGTTAAGCAGGCTAACTTCTTCAATTAAATCATTCAAAAATTCTAATATTCCTATTTTATGGATCGTTACGAAATTTTAATAATTTATGGAAGGAGTTTTATTGCATAGTCCTTAGTGAATTGCTTTCAAATATAATATAGGCCTAGGATACTTTACTTACTAAGGTCTTTTTGCGTCCAGTGTGAGATTTGCTTATATCCTGAGGCAATTTTATTTCTTGAAATCCTTTAAAAAATTTTTTTAGATCTTTTTCTCATCGTTAAACCATTCTTACTCTGGTTGCAAAACATCGTTTTCTATGTTCTATGTTGAAGCTGCATGTGTCATAAGAGTTATCTAAATAACTTGCTGAAGTAATTATACAGCTTGTATATCTTAACTACAAATTATGATAGTAACAAACAGTCAGTTATTACTTCCACTTAGTCGAAGCTTAAAAAAAAAGGTTTGTTGTAAAGACTAAGAAGAGTTGACATTAAGCTACCCCGTTTTCTTGACCTTCTTATAACCTAACAGAAGAATTAGGAAGTTTTATGTTGTTACTTCCTTTGACATAAGAAAGTTAGATTTAGCAGCTAAGAAAAATTAACAAAAATTTTAGGATTTTTGAAAAAAGCTCCTTAATGATAGCTAACATTTTCTTTCTTCGTAATTGTGTTTTTGCTTTAGAAGATTATATTGATAAGATTCCGAAGTTAAAGTCAATATCATCGCAGCATAGCACTTTACGTACTACTAAAACCAAATTAAACAATGACTCATACTGCTATAGAACTAAACGCGTTTGAAACTAATTAATACAAGAAGTCAAGAAATGAGTTGGGTAATAAGCCCTCTGGCACTCAGTTAACAACGAGCTCTTAAAGTTTTGAGACATCAGAGAAAACAGCCCATTAAAGTATTAAGGCATTTAAGAAAACGTCCAACACGTCAAAATCTAACTCATAAGATCATACAGCTTATAAAAACTCTCGGTCTTAAAATAAGAAACCCTGGTGAAAAATAAGTTAGATATTTTTTTGTTGTATACAAATTGGTCGAGACTCTAATCACTTAGTCTCTAGTTGCATTTGATGAATCTATCATGGACTATGAGATTTATACTCATCAGACGTATATATCGTCAACACATGGTAACAAAGATAAAGTTTGTATTTCAGTTTAACATCAATAATTCTCGTCTGTTACCACCTAGAAGTTTTCTACGTGTTTGTGTAAAATTAGTCAAAGCGGATGAAAATACAGCAGTAACGAATAATGCATTTATAAGCAATGCCATTCGCCACTCATTTAAAGAAATAAGATATGAGATAAATACTGGGGTCTGATCAGGGCATTCGATATCTCGCTTAAATAAGCAGTTCTTTCGATAACCCCTATAAAATAACCTAAAATAACTGAAATGCGCATGCGTAGTTTAGGGATTATCTAAAAACTGCTTACTTAAGCGAGATATCGAATGCCCTGATCAGACCCCTGTAGAGGTGAACAAGTGGAAAAATGTGAAAAATTGGTTACAGCTCCATCCAAATAGAAGATCTGTGATGAATGTAGATTGGCTTGGTATTGGCAAGGAAGATAATGATCTTACTAATAGAAATAGATACTTTGATATTATGCTTCCATTAAATATAATTTTAGGGCTTACTAAAGACTATCGTAGAATAGTTGTTAATGTAAAACAAAAGCTCATACTTACAAGAGCAAGAAACGATATGAATGCCGTGTTGCAAGCTCCGCTTAATGCCAATGCTACTGATCCCGTGGCAGCAGCAATTTGAAAAGACTTCAAAATAGTAATATTAAAGCCTGAGTGGCTTATACCCTATGTGGTTATGTCAGATTCTCATAAAATTCGTTTATCAAATTATTTGAAAAATGACATGTTCATACCTATGAGTTACCGAATTCGGGGATTATACGAGTATTCCCTATTACCTAGCACATCCAAACATATATGGATAGATACAACATTAAATCAGTTAAAAAAGCAACACTATGTTATTTTAGCCTTTAAAACAAACCATTAAACTCAGAAAAATATAAGCGCTAGTATATTTGATCACTGCTTTATAAGAAATGTGAAACTCTATTTAAATTCACAATATTATTCTTACAAAGATCTTAATCTCGATAAAGCGCGTTATCTGTATGTATTACTATACAATATGTACGCTTATTTACAAAATTTATACCATAGTGAAGAATGCGCGCCTTCATTAGGCAAATATCACTTTTTCAATCAAATACCTTTAATCGTCCTCGATTGTTCTAATCAAAACGAGACATTAAAAAGTGCTCCAGTAGATGTCAGGATAGAATTTAAGTCACACACCAGTTTTTCTGCCAATACGTCAGCTTATTGCTTAATTTTGCATAATCGTATCGTTCCGTATACTCCAATGAGTGGGGATTCCAAGAAATTTGCATAAGAGCCAATTCATGGGTTTGCTAGCACTAGTTTATTTTCAAATATCATGTATAAGGGTTGGAGCAACAGCTGAAGTAAAAAAAGCAGAAAATAAACGACGATAAGAAAAGTGGAAAAAATTTATGAAGAAAAATGAGTGGAAGGACATAAAGGTTGAAAAAATAAAACCTGGTGAATAATTGAAAGATGTAGACTACAAAATTGTTTGACAAATTAATTTATTTGTAAGTTATGCTTCAATCTATGTGTCACATAAACCGTGAACAAGCCATTTAACAAATAATGTTAAGTATCAAAAATCTCAACTAAGGATGGTGATGATAAATACACGAAATCTGGGCTGAAAAACCTTGTTGATAAGTATTCTACTATTAAAGATTCTTGTTCTTAAAATGAAGGTTACAAAAAAATAAAAAAATAAAATTATTTATTATAATAGCTAAACATAGAGTATTTTCTGGACACGCAAGGTCTCAAGAAATCAGGTAATAATTATGTGCTC